GCGTGGTGGAGATCAAGCGGCCCTTTGGCGTGACCATGTACCGGCTGCGGAGCGGAGCTGGAGTGGTGGAGGGTATGCATCAGGCCAGCAGGCTATCTAAGGCGCCACCCAGCCTGGCCAGCGAGCTGACCTTCAGCGGCACGGCGCAGCGAGGAGTGCCTGTGGTGTCTCTCAATGTGGCGATGGCGGCGCAGCCCGGCGGCGGCAAGGCAGCCGTGCGCTGCGGCTGCCGCGGCGCCTGCACCCGGAACTGCAGCTGCAAGAAGAATGGTGCGCGGTGTGGGCGGCACTGTGGCTGTATAACCGGTAAGGGTGGCAATTGCAAGAACCATTGAAGAAGTGTGCCTTGTACGCTTTGCCGTCTCCGCTGAAAGGTGCTGCCGCCTGTGGCGGCTTCATATTTCCTGTTCATTTCTGTTGTTCGGTCTCTCTGTTCGTGTTGGTTGGCTTGTAAGAGTTGTATTTCTGACGCTAGAGAGGTGAGATGACAGCGGGAGCGTTGAAGCGTGCATGCCATCACGTGTGCAAGCAGCCCCGCTCCGCCCCGCTCAACCCTCAAACATGGCTCTATGGGGTCAGTTCACGTATGGGAGGGGAGCGCCGCGCGGGCTGCCAGGAGCGAGCGGGGGCGGGGGTTGCCCAATCGGGAGGGTGCCACATCAGGGGGCAACACATGGGATTGCGGTGCGGCCGGCAGGCGGTGGTCACAGCCATGGCTGGTGGACAGGCAAGGGGACTACAGCAGATGCCAGGGCTACCTGCAGAACAAGTGGGCCGCGTATGCCGCCGGCTGTCAAATGGGCCTCAATCGAGGGCCTTGCAAGTTTGGGTGGCTGACGGCCGCCGGCGGCACAGGCGCAGGCCACTGCCTCATGGGCGCGTGCAGCAGCCCGCCCAGAGACGGCTCGCGCCCCCAATAATGGCCATGGCTCGAGCACTGTTTGCGGGCACAGACGATGCGCAGGCCTGAGCGCCAAACCTACCTCCCCCTGATTTTTGTAAACGCTCTCTTTGCGCAATGAGAGCCGATAGCGAGCATGCAATCGGGTAGGCGCGTTCTGTCTGTCGCCTTGCAAGTAGTGAGGGGGGAGGCAGGTGCCTCCACCACGCTGCGCCTGCTGTGGTGCTTGGGCGGGGCAGTGGGGCGTACTGCTGTGGCGCCGCCACCAGCCCCTGTTGAGGACTTGCAATGGTGCAGCAGGCGTCCACCAGCGCTGCCACTGGCAGGAGAGTTGGGGCTGCGTCAGTCGCCGCCGCTGCCGCCGCCGCCACCTGCCCCGTAGCTGCGCAGCAACGGTGGCGTTTTGGGCCGGCCCCGACGGGGTGATCGGTGCTGGGTGCTGGGTGCAGTATGGGAGGTTGGGTGCAGGTTAGGATGCATGCTGCTACGGCCTGCACAGTGACTCTGACTTTCCCACTTTCTCACAAAGTGGTCATCATGTCACACAAATTCACTCACAGCAAATGCACAACCTGAAAACGCAAAGTTCAGCCGCACCGCATCAAGCATCTGCCCGCCGCACAGCGTGCCGCACAGTGCGCCGCACCGCCCGCGGCTGCGGCGTGCTGCGCGCCGAGACCTCCCCCGTGGCCACCCTCCAGGCCCCCATCCAGCCTGGCCGAGCGCCGAAGGGCCCTCCCCCTTCCCGGCGGTGTCACCAGCGGCTCTCGAACCATCTGGCGAAGAGCCGGCGCCAGGCAGCGCTGAAGGTCGCATTACGCACCCCTGGCGGCCGGCAGCGTCAGCAGGGCGGGCGACGCCTCGCCCGTAGCGGCATCAACCGCATCGGCGGCTGCTTGCAGGTGCTGGACGAGCAGGTCGCCCATCTAGCACCTCCATCTGCCGCTGCCGCACCTGATCCGCCAGCCACTGCTCCTCCTGCTGCACCCGTTGCCGCACGCACTCTGGCTGGCTGCTCAGGGCGGCCTCGTCGCAATCCAGCAGCCCCTCCTCCATGACGGCAGCCCGCCAGGTCTCGTCATCATCGTCGGCTGCCTGCTGGGCGCCGCCCTGGCCGGCGGCGATGTCCGCCTCCAACAGACCCATGGCGAGGCGCAGCAGCACCTCCCGGTCCGCCTGGTAGGGGGGCAGCTGGGCCGCGTCCGCCGCTGCCGCTGCGTCCGCCAGCGCCACTCCACCGCAAGCTCTGCCACCCGCTCGGCATGCCGGCGGTCCAGGCGGGCGTCCCGCCTGCGGCGGCCCCGGCCGCAG